GACATGTATGAATAGTGGAGGAGGAGGAGAAAGAGGGGGAGGAGCAATTCCAGGAATAGGAATAAAAACAAAAGAACAGGCTTGTTGCTAAGTTATATTTAAAAGCAGTGTTAGATGTTCAGTATTATTTGTCAAAAGTCGTGGGCCAGCATTTGGGCTGGTATCTTTTCTCTTTCCTTTAACAATTTTCGGAGGGAAGATGTCTGTGGTTTTCAAATGTTCCATTGCACTTCATTCTCCGAGGCTTCTCCTGCTGTGGACAAAATGCCATGTCTCCTTTCTTTTGTAATTTCTTCTATGCATAGTTCTATATTCCAGAGCATTTGCTATGACTCTTGACAGCTGCTCCCAAGCTTTTGGCGACTCACTTCCCTGTCCCCTCCTTATCCTCATGCATTCTCAAAAAGGGACAATGTCATTCTCAACGGGGCAAAAATGGGTTCTTACAGAGAGAAAAAAATCTTAATCTTTTTGTGTAGAAGTAACCATATGGGACATAAACAGATATGTGGTATATCTGTGGGGTTAATTTCTTGAGGGTGGGATGGTGATTAGGAAAAAATTAAGTCCCAAAACCTCCTTAGTGGGGATGATCTGTCATCGAAAAGAGGCTGAGAAACATTGTCTTGTGCCGATACGTGTCTTGTGCAAAATTATGCTTCTGAGGTACGTTTAATTAAATAAAGGCCCAGCTCAGGAGTGAGGAAATTGTTTGCTTATTGTCTCTGTTGCTCGGTGACCTCGTCAGTCGCTAAACTTTCAGGGTCTCTGTTTCGTCTTCCTTAAGATGGAAGTGAACGTAGCTGCGCTACCCAGAAGGGCAGCACAGGTCCCCTCTGCACACTGTCACAAGCCTTCTGGAGCCACAGATGACAAAAATAGAAGCAGCGCTCGTCATCTTTTTACAAAAAGAAACAGGTTGAAGCATAGCACAGGATCGGCCACAAAGTCTGGAAAGGTAAAAGCCGTCTCTGTTTTACTTTTTCTGTAAATAAAAAACTCTTCGTCGAGGACAACTGTGGTGGTAAAAAGAGAGTCTGCCGCCCGCCGCTTTGGAGTCGAGTGTGTCTTACCTCGGCCCTGGTCACAAAGATGTGAATTAGCGTCTCCTCGTCGGTCCCCGCTCCTGTCATGGACTTGTACAGACGGTCAGCAAAGTAGCCTTCCTGGTCCCGGGCACACCTCACTGGGCAGGACAAAGGAAAAGGGACTGTGAGCCTGTCATGTTTTGTTGAATACCATGGACACCTTTTGAAGGAACAGAGATGGCTCCGAGTGTCACCTCGCGGCCCGTGGAGCTGACTGGATTGTGAGGCTGGTGTTCGGAAGGGGCGGGCTTCACAATGTTGTGTCCTGGGGTCTGGAGGATCCAGGACACCTGGATTCTTCCACCAGAACCAAGTCCAAACCCCTTCCGACAAATAAGACCCTTTCCTGTTCCCCGAAGGCCACGTGGCCGTCTTCTGCAAAGGTCTCCCTGCAAAGTTCATGATTCTCACCAGCAGAAATAACTTTTCACATATAAACGAAACCTCTGATGCTGGAGGCAGGTCCAGAGAGGAGACAGACTGGCCGGCAAGCTCGTTGTAATAAAACCTCATAATCTCGAAGATTCGCTCGCTTGGACTGTGGCCTGCTCTCCTGTGCTAAACTACCTTCCTCTCCTTTGTTTTCCTCACTGGGTTTGTTTTGGGAGCCTCACCTCTGGGTCTTGTCCAAGTTCCCCACACTTAGTTTGTGATCTGGGATGCGAGCTGGATGAAGTGTTTGATCCTGGCTACAGATCGCCTTCCTACAAGGCTGCTCGTTTCTCTTTTCCGGCCCTCCCTCTGCCTGCCAGCCTCGATCTAATCCACGAATTAATGAAGCGTGGTTTCCACTCACCAGCCAGGAGACAGGGTGCATCTCTGCTCGTGGGGATCAGCCATTCTTTCCCTCTCCCCCCGCTCCCGGTCTCATATGGGTCCATATTGATAACACTTTTGGGGGGGAATGAACCATTTACTCTTTAGGTTGTTGACATTTATCTAGAACACTTCACAATTTTTGATGTTAGTGATTAATAACAAGTAGTTAATTCATCACAGTCGTGGAAAACACAGCCTTAATATGTCCTGTGAGGGAAACTCCTGTTTTCTAGGTAATTGCCCATTTAATTGTTGTTCACGATGAAGGTTGGGAGACAGATTGAGGGAGGCACAGTCTAGGTTGCAAATCTGTCTCCTCACAACCACCAGAGGGTCAGTGGAAAAACAAAACCCAGACCCAGGTGTCTGACCCCTTCAGCCTGAGAACAGCCCTAAAGCTGCTGAATTGGTGGAGGTTGTGGGGGGAACCCGTCTATTTGAGGAGTAACATATTTTGGACTCACTGTGATCCCCAGACGTTCTGAGCTGGTGACATCACAAGGTTTTCCTGAAGGCCCTCTTCCGTGCCTTCAGCATCTTACTGATGCTGAAATGACTGTCCGCCTAGGTCTCTGTGCTCCAAACCAAATAGGTGTCTTCTCCCCTGATGTTCCTACTGTATACAATTTATGCCTGGTGAACACCCTCTCTTTTTAGCAACGGCAGGAACCCCTCAGACGTTTGGGTGGGGCTAGCTGGGGAAGATTTGGGCATAAAGGTGGGGCGTGGAAGGCAGGGCAGCCAGGTCCTAGTCTCTGTCCATTGCTCTCTTTAGTTCAGACAGGGGTTCTCCAACTCCAATCGCTTAGGGGATCCTGGAAAAGTGTGGCTTCCAGTCTCCATTCATGGAGATTCTAAGTGGGTAACCAGCAGTGGGGCTCAGGAAATGGTATTTTCACACGGCCCCCCAATAGATGATTCTGATGCAGCGGTCCATGGACCTCACTTCGAGAAATGCAGCTTCAGAGGCTGCAAGTGGTGGGCGCCGTTTGGTCTCCTAACCCTTTCTCCTTGGTTTTAGCCACAAACCGGCATCTTTATGCGTTAGGTGGGAGTAGGAGGGGGGCTGTCTAGAAAATAGAGTCATGAAGTCATGTCTCCTCTCCGTGTGGTTTATTCTCAAGGTCTTTTCTATTCGCTTTTATGTGTGCTACCACTGGAGTCCGCTTGAGTTCTGCATTTCATGGTCCCCAACTGTAGGGACTGCGTCTCTCCTTCCTCTGGACCCTCCTTGCTCTGGCTGTTTCTGTTTTTGTCATGACTGTCACCTACTCTGTTGATTCCTGTGTATCTGCCACAGACTTGAAGCTTTTCAAGAGCAGGAACCAAACCTATTTACCTCTGAATCCCACACCTAGCGCTACCCCTGGCCCAGTCAGGTGCTGAGTAAATGTTAAAGAATGGAATGGCTTTAGTACCATTAATAATTAATATTAATAAAGATTAATATTACTCTTCTGGCTGAACTCTTCTGTCTTCCCAGTTCTCTGCACTGTAAGCACAGGGAGTGTTTGGAGCCTCTGAGCAGGGCCATGAATAGATTTCTCCATTTACTTCAGACACTCATCCTTTTAGCCCTAAGGACAGTTGTCTGTGTGTCTCCAGCGTGGGTCAGGGATGCTTAAGCCTCTGCACATCATGATAGAAGTCCTGCTAATTTGAATGCAAAATGAGGATGGATTTTTAAAAACTCAATTGCTGATACTGTTCCAAAAAAAAAAAAAAAAACCCCCCAAAAAAAAAAAAAAAAAAAAAAAAAAAAAAAAAATAGAAAGAAAGAAAATGTTTGGCAGCTAGAGCACATTTTTTAACTTCCAGGGCTGCCTTTTCAGCTCTTCCTCTTCTTTGGGGGATGGTGTCGCTCCATTTCTTGTGCCATTTGGGATGGTGCCCTGGACTCCTCACCACAGGAGTGCGGACAATGGACAATGCCTTCATTCCAGGGCTTGCCAAAGGAAAAGGGAGCCTGCCAGACCCGGCCCCGTGCCCATCTCCCTGCTATTTCCTGCCTGTGGGCAACACCTGGAGAGGTCCTGGTGTTTGCTTGGCACAGTGGAGATCTGGTCTCCTTCCCATCTCTTTCTAAACGAACCTCATTCATTCTAAATGTTGAAGGGAACCAAATACAAAAGGACAGCCTCGAGCCATCGGGCGTGTGCAGAAACTAGTTCATGGATCCAGAACCTGGGTACTTTAGAGTAGGTGTCACATGAGCCATACACTGCTCCCCTGAGGCTAGCAACAGTTGACAGCTACTCTCAGGGACCCGTGAGCTTAGTGGGACTGTAGAGGATGCCATGGTGCATGCCCCGATGACCTCTTCAGGACTGAGGCACCCAGTCCAAGCGTGGCCTGCTGGCTGCTCACTGAGTCCCTTCCCAGAATCACCCTCCAAGGAGGGAGCAGCTTTACCCAAGGTTGCAAAGGCTCCCGGGGTACAGCCCTCCGACTGCCCTATGTGGGCTGCAAAGACCCGGCTCCGTGCCTCCACTCGGCACAGCCTGGCTTCAGGGCTTCTTGGAGACCAGCAAAGATCCTGTTGCAACTGCATCCCATTCATCCTCTCCCTTGCCCAATGCTGCTCAGATGTGTTGTTCCCAAAACTGTTCTATGAAAGCTTCCTGCACCCAAACCTCCGTCTCCGAGTCCTGTTTTAGGGTGCCCAGCCTGAGCAGGGACACTCCTGGCTTTGGTTTACCGAGAGTTAAGTAGGCCGTCTGCAGATCTCCCGACGTTTCTGCTTCGATGGCCTCCTCGATATCTTTACCCACGAGCTGGAGAGACAAAGTCCAGCCGTTAGTCCGTTGTTTTGCTTTTGGTGCACTTGGGGTTCTTCCTCCATAAAAATCACTAAACTCTTCCAGATTTGGTCACGTGGCCTTAAGGCACTCCTGTCTGGCCTCATGCCTTGCAGGGCTGAGGGTGGTTGCCCCCCATTTGAGCGGGGGGCTCTCATGGCTGAGGGGTTAGTCCAGATTTGACCCAGTCAGGACCACACGCTCAGCCTTAGCTTCCTCCTCTGTAAAATCAGGGGATGGAAGAAAACGAACATACGCTGTGTCGATACTTCTTTATGTTTATATGATACTTGTGTTTCCTATGTGTTTTTAAAAATTCTTTCCATTTCTAATTTTCTAGGAGGCTGTGGTTATGATCAGCTTCCTTATACCTTCCTTGTCTCCTTTGTCCTGGGACTGGGGACTCAGTCTCCTACCTTCTGGGTGAAGGAAGTAGTGGCTGCAAAGTTCACGGTAAGGACCTGTCTAATGTTTCTGGTAGAGTCGGGCTCATGGGCTGGTGGCAGGGGGCTGACCATGTCAAAATGCCACTTTCCTTCCCTCTGGGGTGATTCCAAATGATCCTATAGTCACCACCGGCTTGCATATCTCTGCACAGCATTACGCATTAGGTTTCTTTCCAAATATTTACAGAAGATGAAGTTCAGAGTAAATCGTGACTATGCTTAATGCAAGTACCGCCTGGGCCACACTCGGGGCAGGGCAAAAAAAGAGAAAGAACTTTTTGTTGGGTTTGGGAAAGGCGGTTAAGCATTAGAAAGACTGAAACATCTCTCTTAGAAATTAACACGAGTACAATTCAGTAAATAATTGGGGCCTTTGAGGACATGCCAGTGGAGTTTATGTCATTTATTCTGAAAACACAAATTAACAAACTATTCTTTGCAATGCAAGCACAGTAGGTGTGGGGGAGGGTCCAGATTCTTGATCGCCTCGTCCTGCTTTGCATATCTAGAGGCCTGGTGTGTGTAATGGGCTAGAAGGGGATTGGGTCAGGGGCTTTCAGTCCTATCCCTGTCTTTGCTGTTCACAGCCTTTTGTAAATTTGATATGGGAGCTGGTATTTTGGAAGGGACTGGTATCATTTCCCCATGAATAGGGTTCTTGTTCTGTAGACTGAGATTGCATTTCAAGAGGACATTGTAGTCACACAGGTCTGTGTTACTAAAAAAAAAAAAAAATCCTCACATTAAACCTCTTTCTGTTTCCGTTGTTAATACTGGGCCAGAACAGTGCTTTTCAATGTTCTGTAGCATCTCAGATAAAAGCAAAAAAGCAGCACTATTCCGGGGATGCAGGAGACAGCATCCGAACCCTAGCCCTAGGCAGTAATGCCAGGCTTCTGCCCTCACAGGGTCTCTTTTTTGCACAACTTTGTGAATAGCACAACTACAGGGGGTGCTAGTCACACAATACAATGAGATGGCATCGCCCCTCCTTCTCTACCCGCCTCCTGCCCCCAACCACCTCCTGGTAGCTACCAAGGCACCACCAGGGGCTTCATGAAACACAGATGAAAAACAATTGACTGGCTCAAGTGATTGCAACTCTCCTTTGCAAATGGCATGCTTTTTCACTTACTGGAACACTTAATTCTTAGGGGGCTTTTGGGGCAGAACCAAGTTTTTGTTCTCAGTACAAAAACACGTTGCCAGGGTGAATTCCAGACAAGCCTCAAAGCCTTCTAGTTAATCAGATAGGGAGATTATTAGAAGAATAAGCGAGACATTTCTTTCTTTTATAACCGATTCTCCTCGATCGACAACATGCCCACAGCAGAATCCTATCCACTGGTTTTGGCTACAGCAATTAAAGGGCTAAAGACTCTGGAATAGGTTTAAGGAATGCTTAAAGGGGAGGGGAGAAGGAGGGAGGGTGTGGTGGGGAGGCCGTGAGCCTCAGCTGTGGGTATGTTTACCTATGGTTTACATTAAGCCCTGTTTGGGGAACTTGCTTCAGCTTTGTAAGTAGATAAACCTTTTTTATGGCCGAGTAGTATTCTTTGTATGAAATAAGTCAGACAGAGAAAGACAACTATCATACAATTTCACTTATATGTGGACTCTAAAATACAAAATCAGCAAAGAAACAAAACAGCAACAGACTCGTAGATTCAGAGAACGAACTGATGGTTGACAGGTGGGAGGGGCGTTGGGGCACTGGGTAAAGAAGGTGAAGGGATGAAGAAGCACAATTTGGCAGTTACAAAACAGTCATGGGGATGTGAAGGACAGCATAGGGAATATAGTCCACAGCATCTTAATAACTATGAACGGTGCCAGGTGAGTACTGGACTTGCTGGGGATCACTTTGTGAGTTATACAAATGTCGAACCACGGTGCTGTACACCTGAAACTACTATCACATTGAATGTCAACTGTAATTGAAAACATAAAATTAAAATAAAAAATAGATCCTGATTTAGAGGGCCAATAAAGGCAAATACCTGAGCTTTTTTTTTAACCAAAAATTACCATTCAATGCTATGTTAGGACAACCTGTGCCATATAATATGCTCCACCGACCTGACACCAACATCTTAGTGCTTTCAGCCAGAGACTGTAAGAAAATTTGTGGGACCAGGGTCCTAAGACCAGGGCGAACTCTAAAAATCAATGATAAAGATCAAGGTGAATGATGTTCCAGGAAGGTTTCTGGAATAGATGAATAGGTAGCATTTTCTAGCTGGTTCATGCAAGAATCATAAAATCAATGGATAATCTTATCATCCATTTGAGCTTTAGCTCTGGTTTTTGACTCTGTTGGTTCACACAGGGAGACTCCTAACAACTGTTAATGTTTGTTGAGCACCTACTGTATGCCAGGTACTCAGTGCTTTACTTCTGTTAATTCATTTAATCCTGACAACCTTATGAAGTATGTACTATTATTATCCCTATTTTATGATTGGGGAGACTGAAGTACAGAACCCTTAAAAACTTGCCCAAGGTCATACAGCTAGTAGCCTAGGACAGAATTCTTTAAATTTAACATGCATCAGAATCTGGAAGATTTGTTAAAACACAGACTGTAGGACCCTAATTCCGGGGAATGTGACTCAGTAGGTCCAGGTGGGGACTGAGAATTCTCATTTTTAACATGTTCTCCAGGGATACCGATGCTGCTGTTATGGGATTCATATTGACAAAGATTGGCCTAGAGAGTATTCTTAGGTATCATGTACACACACACAGGCTCACATGGATGTGTGTTTCTATAGCTATCACCAATGACGGCCATCCCCAGAACCTCCATCCACAGCCCCAATCATGTGGGAAGGAGGTCTAGGTCACGGAGAAGTCTTTCAGCTCAGTCTATACAGCTCTGGGTGCAGAGGCCAGGGGAGTGCAGGATCAGCTGCCTTTGATCATGACTCTGGGCATGATTTGAAAGCCATGGCCCCTAAAGGCTTATATACAGTAATGATAAAATTCCAAAGCTTTATTGTCTTTTCATCTGCTGGCAGCACATAGGAAAAGCTCTTTTGAGTGAGGAGCGGCCAGCTCCAGCTGAGGTAGGAGCTCGGGCTGCAGAATCTTGGAGTTCTCATCCACTTTCTGCTACTGACTTGCTGTGTGGTCCTGATAAGTTACAGATGGTTCCTTACTCATAACAGGCTTTCCTTGTCCAGCAGTTGTGGGTAGCAGTGGCTGTTCAGCCTACATTATAGTTACAGTATTGTTGTGAAATTCAAATGAGATACAGGGCACAGAAGTGCTTTGAATAGTTAAAAACACTCCACAGATATAAAATAGGACTGCTACTGACTTGCTGTGTGGTCCTGATAAGTTACAGATGGTTCCTTACTCATAACAGGCTTTCCTTGTCCAGCAGTTGTGGGTAGCAGTGGCTGTTCAGCCTGCATTATAGTTACAGTATTGTTGTGAAATTCAAATGAGATACAGGGCACAGAAGTGCTTTGAATAGTTAAAAACACTCCACAGATATAAAATAGGAGACTAAAAAAAAAAAAAAATCTGATACTCTACAAAAGGCTTCTTGCAATTAAAGACTGATTTTCAGGGAAAGACTCACAACTGAGACCCTCGAAATAAGCTAACTCACCTTGTTGGCTTAAAATTATCGTTACATTAAAAAGTAATCGTATAAAGGTAATTTATACACACCTTTTCAAGAGTGTAGCTCTGAGGTATATCGCATACATCTTGGGAGTGGTAAGCACTGTTAGCCTGACTGTAAATTGGAATAGTAATAATAGCGAACACTTGTACGCTTACCACGCACCAGCTACTGCCCTCCGCCTTTCACATTTATCTTATATAGCTCTTAAAATAACCCCATGAGGGTGTGATGAGGATGACGATCATGGTCTCTGTTTTGCAGATGAGGATAGAGAGGTTAGATCACGTGCCAGGATTTGAACCAGGATTTGAACCTGGGCCCTCTAACTCTAGGGCTCTGCTCGTAAACTTGACACTGCTCTGCTTTCCTAGTTTCTGTTGTAAAGCAGCGTTTCCCACCCTTGGCACTCCTTTTGGGGACAGATTGTGGGGTCTGTCCTGTGCATTGTTAGATCTTTAGCAGCACCCTGGCGTCCACCTGCAAGATGCCAGTACCACACAATGGGACAACTCCAAATGTTTCCGGACAGTATCCAATACCCCTGGCGGGAGGGGGAACAAAATGACTCTTGATCGAGAGCCGTTGCTGTAAAAGAACCACCCTCCCTCCGTATCCCAGGTTGTGGCTCCTTTTGGAAATACTTTAAGACACAGTTTCAGTGGGAATCCCTTGCCCTGGCCCTTGATTACTCACAATCTGATAGGCTTGAAAGGTGGCTCGTAACTGCTTGTGGCTCCTCTTGGCCAGGACTTCGTTAAAGGCAAGTTCATCCGTTCCCCAGCGGCCTTCCCCTGCCTTGGAGGTCAAATGCAAACATTTGGAAAAAACCTTTTGCGAAAAGGCTGACTATAGTGCTGTGACCGGGCCTCACTTATGGGAAATGATAACATAGGCACTGAATAGAAGCCAAACTGATTGACTAAACACTTTAAACTTCACATATTTATTTATATCATTTATACCCTCCCTTATTACAAAACGGATCTGGGGTGGTTAATCCCATAGGAGTATAAGAACAGGAGTAATTCTTTCAGGTTTGTGAAGACTGTATCTATGAAAAACATTTTAAAGATGATACTTATTTCCCGAGTGACTCCCATTTGCATAAAATAAATAAACATGTGTTGAAAATCACACTAAGACATTTTTTAAAAAAAGATTTTGCCGAGCCTGGCACGCCTGCGCACTTACGTCATGCAGGTCCCTGGCATCCTGACCAGCTAGATCTTTGTCCACGTTATCGCCTTCGTCACGATTAGCCTAGAAAAAGCGACACATTGTTATAGACCCGAGTTTCTGCTGGACCACAGAAAACAAAAAGAGAGAACCCTGACGAGCTGGGGTGACTTCAGAGTGAGCCCGCCCAAGTGGCAGCGCTGCTCTTTGCTGCCATCTTTTGGGCACGACTGATAAACAGAGCAGCTTCTGTGACAACACTTGTCTTTATCGTTCTTTTTTTTTTTTTGTAGAAACCAGGGTCACTCACAAACCCTGCTGACCTCTAAGCAGGCTGAAAGCAACATCACAGTTAATCTCCTAGAGTCAGTTAAATAGGAAGGTCCCAGTCTACCTTCTAGAATATCAAACTCCAGCGCTCAGGGTCCTCATCATGAACAGCCCCGAACGTTGGGTTGGTCTTGAAGTCTAACCCAAGCCTTTTGTGTCAGGCAGAATTTTAAGATGACCCCAATGTTCCCCACCCTTATATAATTCCCTTCTCTTGAGTGTGGGCAAGACATGTGAATACGAAGAGATATAACTCCTGTGATTATGTTGTGTTAATATGGCAAAGGGGATGTTTGCGGATGTGATTAAGGTCCGTAATCAGTGGAGTTCATCGAAAGGGATATCACCCTGGGTGGGTCCTGCCCAATCAAGTGAGCTCTTAAAAGGTCAGAGATGGAAGGCATCAGAGAGATGAGCGCCTGCTGGCCTGAACGAAACCAAACAGCCATGCTTTGAACTGTCTGGGGGGCACGTGACAGGGAACTGAGGATGACCTTTAAATGCTGATAGTAGTCTCTGGTTGACAGCCAGCAAGAAAGCAGGGACATCGGTCATAGAGCCACAGGGAACCAAACCCTGCCCAGGACCAGTGAGGTTGGAAGAGGACCCAGGTCCTCAGATGGAATGGCAGCCCCAGCCAAGACCTTGATTTCAGCCTCATAGGACTCTGAGCCAAGGACTCGGCTAACCTGTAGGAAGACTCCTGACCTATAGAAACCATGAGATCATAGACCTGTGTTGTTTGGAGTTGCTAAGTTTGTGGCATTTTGTTATACAGCAGGAGAAGAACACTTACATACTCTCCCTACTACAGCGTAAGGCTGCGTGTTCTCTGCTGTCAGTCTGTTCACACCGAGAGAAATGAACCAGAGGAAGTGCACCCAAGCTATTAAAGATGGATATGTCAACGAGAGTACAGATGCTGTCTTGCTGGAGGCCCGAGAGCTGTGTCTCGAAAGCCCCGCTTTGCCGGATAAGCTCCCTGCAGTGGCTTTTACAGGCTGAGACTTGGGGGGATCCAAGAAGTAAGTGTAGAGCTTGGGGTCAGATGGCCTGGTTCTGGCTCCTGGGCTGTGTCTTAGTGTGTGTAAACGTAGGCAGGTTATCCATCCTCTCCAGGCTTGAATTTCCTCACTGGCAAAATGAGGTGGTGATGTTTAATGAGATAATTCATGAACAAAAAGGGATTATAAACTGCAAATGAGTAGGCGAATAATTATTATGAGAGAAGTCCCGACTGAATGATTTCACAGAGGCCGGGCTGACAGAGCTGACAGGGCTGATGATCTCTTAGTAACATTTTTAATCAAAGCAGGAAATGTTTACTGTCTATCTGGCTTTTTCCATCATAGCACCGTGTTGCCTAGCGCTGTTTCCCAAGATCATAAAAGAGGTGAGACCTCTTCACTCTTACCTGTAGCAGAGACACCAGGATTTTTTTTAGGTTTCCATTTGTGTCATCTTTGATATCTGATTGAAGGCTCCTGTCAAATACTTTTGAAGAGGGGAAAAAGGAAGGCAGAAAGCAGACAATTTAGTTTCCCAGAGGTACTTTGAAAAGAACATTCTTTATCCAAAGTCAGAACAAAAGGTCACTTACGTCTTTGGTAGGCTTCTTTAATGGCGATGATTTCCTAGAAAAGGTAATAAAGTAAATCAATTCTCCAGGGTGAGTTACGCCATAAGATATGGAGAGATACACAGAGGGAAGAGTCAAGGGCCTGTCTCTGGGCACAGGATGCTTTCTTTCATGACTTCCTCCAGAGAGGACCACCCCTGGAGGTGAGAAGGGGCCCTTCAGTGCCAACATTTCCAACATGACCAACGCAGGTAAGGTGTGCATACATTCTCCTTAGTTAGAGGTGAAAACATTACAGCTAATCTAACATTTTCTTCCAGCACCTCCTCGCCCCAGCCCCACCCAGGTAGCCTGTGTTCAGTGCATACCTTCGCAAATATTTTTCTTTGCATTTGTACACACATGTATGCTATTGGAAATGTATAGAATTATTTTGCATGTGTGCGTAAACAGTACTGTACACATTGTTCTTTGACTTATTTTTTCACTCAATCATATGTCTTCGAAATCCAGCTATGCTTATACATAATTAGCCACCTAGTGTTTTTTTAAATGGATACAAAATGTCCCATCCTACAATAGGCCACAGTTTATTTAGCCAGTCTCCATTGGATGGACATAGGTTTCCAGTTTTCCTCTACTTCAAACAAGGCTTCATTCAGGAAACGGTTTGCTGGAGCAGACGTGTATGTTTCTCTCTAGGGCATGTCCTGGGAAGAATTGCTTTGTATATCAATGACTGGTGCCAAGTGGCCCACTCAGGAGCTGCCTCCGTATACACCTGAACCGGCAGTGTGAACCGGCAGGTGTTTCCCCAGAGCGTCACCTGCAGCCTGTTTGAAGTGAAAGTCAGTGATGGGCGATAGAGTGCGGAGCCGGGCTGTGTGCTTTGGGGGTTGAGAGGGCTGTGGGAGGGAGGTGACAGCTGACACCTGTGTCTGTGTAGCTTCCCCTCCTTTCTTCGCCTTCCATCCCACCACCGGGATTTGCCTGAACCTGCAACATGCTCTCTCTGTCTCTGTTTTTCTTCTTTTTACTGTCAGATCTATTTGATTGAAAATAAAGGGTTTTCCTTGTTGCTGAGTCCAGGACCTGAGAGAAACTAGGCTGAGGGGGAACAGCATGTGGTCAAATAAGATTAGAAAAATCATGATCCTATTAACCTTCTTGCCAAGGCAGGCTGCCAGTAGCCCCATATCGAATGTACCTTCTCTCGGGCTGTGGTGTGTCTGGAAAAGGTGGGAGAGTAGGGAA